GTCACTACCCACAGCTCGTGGCCATAGGTGAGGGTAGGGACGTAGATCAACCGGTAAATTGAGAGCTTCGCTTTTACACTCAGCTCCCTCTTCACCACAATGGACCAGTGCCACCAATCCGTTTGTTGATCTCCGGCTCCCTTCTCCCATCACTCGCGAACAAGACCCCACGACCCCTTGTGCAAGTCTTTGTGGTTAATTACAGGGGGTGAACTGACAAAAATAAATAACTTAAATTTTGTAGCTAATCTAATTAAAATTCCTTTTTAATCTAAAGGAAATGAATTGAAATGACTTTCAGAATAGCTCATGCCTTTTTTAGGGTATAATTATATATTCACACTTTAAAAACACATTTGCAAACAACATTCAGAGATATTCCGGCTCTTAGAAAATGTAAATATAAAAAATCCCTCGTGAAATGCTTCTCAACATGTAAGTGTGACAAATCAGAAAGAAGGCTCCTGATTTGTCACACTTATATGTTTCACATATCAAGGTAATTTTAATATTTCTGACAACCATCAGAAAGGATTACAAAGCCATTAATTAGGCTTTGCGACATCAGTGAACCACAGTGAGAGACATCATCCACAAATGGAGAAACTTTGAACAGTGGTAAACCTTCTCAGCAATGCTTGTCCTACCAAAATTACTCAAAAAGACTAAAAAGAAACACACACACACACACACACACACACACACCAAAAAAGATTCTGTGGACTAATGAGACAAAAGATGAACTTTTTGAAAAGTTTGATTTCCTTTACATCTGGTGTAAAACTAACACAGAATTTCACACCAACAGTCAAAAGTGATGGTGACAATGTGATGGTCTGGGGCTACATGGGCAAAAAAAAGAAAGAAAAAACAACCTAGTCTAAGTCTGGACTTAATTCCAACTGAGATGCTTTGGCATGGCCTTTAACAGGCCGTTGACGCTCCACAACCCTCCAGTATTGCTGAATGAAAACAATTCTGCAAAGAGTGGGCCAAAATTCCTCCACAGTGAAAGACTCATTTCCAGTTATTGCAAATGCTTGGATGCAGTTCTTGCTGCCAAGGGTGGCACAATCATATACCTCCCTTGGTTTAGGGGGCAATTATTTTTCCACACAGGGCCGGGTAGGTCTTAAAAGCTTTTTTCCCTCAATAAATGAAATCATCATTTAAAAACTGCACTTTGTTTTTACTCAATTTATCTTTGCATAATATTCTAATTTGTTTGATGTTCTTAAACGTATGACAAGTATGCAAATAATAGTAATAATGACTAAAAAATACATTTTTTTCAGTGTATCTTGCAAATAGTTAAACAAAGCCTCTTTCGGTAGAAATCATTTAATGACAGAAGGTTTTGCGTTTTTTTTTTTT